CTAGAGCCAATCTTCTCCGAGCTCCCACTCAGGCACTGTAGCTTGGGGGATCTGCCCCCAGTCACGTCTTGGTGGGGAAGTTACTTCCATTCCCCTGGCTCAGAGATGATCACAGCTATTTAACATATCCATGCAACCAGCCAAAGGCTATAGATATGTTAAATGACCACACCAGAGGGTAGCTGCAAGGCTGTTGCTATGCAAAACAGCTCTCAATGGCCCTGCTCCATTTGTCCCTTCCCCCAACCCACACCCTGGGTAGGGGGGGATGGAGACATCTTAAAATCTCCTGGACACCTTAAGTTCTGGACCCCATTTCAAATGCCCATTTGGGGTCCCCCCTCTTGGCTGTAACCCTGTAACACCCTGTAACAGTCAGGACACATATGGGAGACAATGGACTGATGTTTCTCTCTCTCTCTCTCCCTACCTCTCTCTAAAATCAATATACATATCCTCTGGTGAGGATTTAAAAAAAACAAAAAAAAACCTTTTTAAATGGAGAACAAAGTTAGAGGTACCACATTATATGCTACAAGTCCATAGTAACCAAAACAGCATGGTACTGGCATAAAAATAGACATATAGATCAATGAACAGAATGGAGACAGAAATAAACTCATGCCTATGTGGTCAATTCATATTCAAAAAAGGAGGCAAAATCATACAATTGTGTAAAGACAGTTTATTCAATAAATGGGGTTGGGAAAGTTGGATAGATACATGGAAAAAAGTGAAACTAGACCACTTTTTTACACCATATACACAAATAAACTCAAAATCGATTACAGACTACCAAGTAAGACTCAAAACCATAAAACTTTTATAAGAAAAACATAGGCAGTAAAATATCTGACATTCTCTTGTCAATATTTTTTTCTGATACATATTTTTGAGCAAGAGAAACAAAAGACAAGGTAAACAAATGGGACTACATGAAACTAAGAAGGTTTTGTACAGCAGAGGAAACCATCAGCAAATCCAAAGTACAACCTACTGAATGGGAGAAGATATTCATCAATGAAACATTGAATAAGGGGTTAATATACAAATTTATAAAGACCTCATGCAAGTCAACAGCAAAAACAAAACAAAACAATTCAGTTAAAAAGTGGGCAGAAGGTGGGAGGAGGTGTGAAGGGGGGAAAATGGGACAACTGTAATAGCATAATCAATAAAATATATATTTTTTTTAAAATGTGGGCAGAGGACCTGAATAGACACTTTCCCAAGGGGACATATAGATGACCAATAGACATGAAAAGATGCTCAACATCAATCATCAGAGAAATGCAAATTAGAAACACAGTGAGTTATCTCACACCTGTCAGGATGGCTATCATCAATAAATCCACAAGTGCTGGTGAGGATGTGGAGAAAAGGGACCCCAGTGCCCTGTTGGTGGGAATGCAGGTTGTTGCGGCCACTCTGGAAAACAATATGGAGGGTTCTCAAAATATTAAAAATGGGAGCTCCAGCAAAGATGGAGGCATAGGTAGAAACCCTTCCCTTCCTCGCACAACCAAAAGGAAGATAACAACCAATCTAAAATCAATAAAGAATCAAAAACCAGAAAATCAAACTACATGGAACTCCGACAACCAAAGAATTAAGAAAAAATCAACCAGAACAACCAGACCAGTATGGCATACTCCACGGGTGACTCAGAAAAACCGCAGCGAGGCAGCAGAGGGGCGGGGCTGACTGCGGAGCTCGGCAGAGCTGCATGGGAGGGAGTGACTTAAGGGGAAAACTGAGACTCAGAGCTGACTATGGGCTACAGCTGGGGAGGCCACCGTGGGAGATATTTCCCGTCTGACTCGAGAATCTGTTTGAAAGTGCACTAGAGAGGAGCAGACAAGCTGCATTGTTCCCTCTCTGGCCCCTCCACCACAGGCAGCTCAGCAAAGAGGGTTGCCCTGAATGGGTGACTACCTAAGGCCCCGCCTCCTTCCAACCTATCAGCTGTGCCAAGACAAACAAATATGGCTCACATGAAAGAACACAGCAAAACCTCAGAAAGAGAACTAAGTGATGAGGAGATTGCCAGCCTATCTGATGGACAATGTAAAGGCCTGGTAATCAAAATGCTCATAGAACTGGTTGAGCTGGTCGAAAAATGAAAGAACAAATTAAAGATACCCAAGATGAAATAAAGCAAAATATTCAGGGAACCAACAGTGACAAGAAGGAAACTATGATTCAAAGCAACGATTTGGAACAAAAGGAAGAAATAAACATCCAACTGGATCAGAATGAAGAAATAAGAATCCAAAAAAATGAAGAGAGGCTGAGGATTCTCTGGGACAACCTGAAATGTTCCAGTATCTAATTACAGAGGTGCCAGAAGGAGAACAACAGCAATACATTGAAAACTTATTTGAACAAATAATGAAGGAAAACTTCTCCAATCTGGCGAAGGAAATAGACTTCCAGGAAGTCCAGGAAGCCCAGAGAGTCCCAAAGAAGTTGGACTCAAAGAGGAACACACCAAGGCATATCATCATTAAGTTACCCAAGATTAAAGACAAAGAGAAAATCCTAAAAGCAGCAAGAGATAAGGGGACAGTTACCTACAAAGGAGTTCCCATAAGGCTATCAGCTGATTTCTCAAAAGAAACCTTACAGGCAAGAAGGGGCTGGAAAGAAATATTTGAAGTCATGGAAGGCAAGGACCTACATCCAAGATTACTCAATCCAGCAAAGCTATCATTTAGAATGGAAGGGCAGATAAAGTGCTTCCCAGATAAGATCCAGTTAAAGGAGTTCATCATCACTAAGCCCTTATTATATTAAACATTAACGGGACTTATCTAAGAAAAAGATCAAAAATATGAACAATAAAATGACAATGAACTCACAACTATCAACAAATGAACCTAAAAGTAAAGAAAAACAATGAAAACAAAAATTAAGCAAACAACTAGAACAGGAACAGAATCAGAGAAATGGACATCACACAGAGGGAGTTCAGTGGGAGGGGGAAGGGAAGAAGAATAGGGGGAAAAGGTACAGGGAAGAAGAAGCATAATTAGTAGGCATAAAATAGATGGGGAGAGATAAAAAATGGTATAGGAAACCGAGGACTCAAAGAACTTACATGTACAGCCCATGGACATGAACTAAATGGGGGAGAATGATGGAGGGGTGGCAGGGCAGGGTGGAGGAGGGATCAAGGGGGAAAAATTGGGAAAACTAATGGCATAATCAATAAAAAAATACTTTAAACATTTTTTAAATGGAACTGCCTTATGACCCAGCAATTCCATTTTTGGGCAGATAGTCAAAACACTAATTCCTAAGAATATAAATACCCCGATATTCATTGCAGCATTATTTACAATAACCAAGATACAGAAGCAACCCAAGAGCCCTTCAGTAGACAGTGGATAAAGAGGTGGTACTTTGTATGCAATGGACTATGATTCAGCCTTAAAAAAAAGAATGAACAGTCTTACCATTTGCAAAAACGTGGATGGGCCTAGAGATTATTATGCTAAGTGAAATAAGTGAGAGAAAGACAAATACCATATGACCTCACTTATTTGTAGGATCTGAAGAACAGAATGAATAGATACAGAGAACAGACCATTGGTTGCCACAGGGGAGGTAGGTTGGGGACTGGGTGTACAGTCTAGGGAATGTAGTTAATAATATTCAAATAACTATGTACAGTGCCAATTGTGTACAGCAAATATGTAGACAATTTTGTAAAGTCTGCATATGATTGCCTAACCTCTATGCTGTACACCTAAAATTAATACATAATACCGAATATAAACTAATTGAAAAACAAAACGTCTATTTAAAAAATTGGCAGAAGGACTGAATAGGTATGTTTTCAAAGAGATATACAAATGGCCCACAAGTACATGAAAAGATGCTTAACATCACTAATCAATGAAATGCAAATTAAAACCACAACGAGACATCACCTCACACCTATCAGGTTGCTTATCATCAAAATCCAAGAACTGTCAAGTGTTGTCAAGAATGTGAAGAAAAGGGAGCCTTTCTATAGCATTCTTGGGATTGTGCATTGGTATTGCTCTATGGAAGACAGAACAGAGGTTTCTCAAAAAATTAAAAATAGAGTTACAATATGATCCAGCAATCCCAACTCTGGGTATATATCCAAAGGAAATGAAAACAGGATCTCAAACAAGAGATTTCCACACATATCACTTATGTAGACCCTATGAAAGCCGAACTCAGAGGAACCAATGATAGAGTGGTGGTTACCAGGGACTGGAAGGAAATGGGGAGATGCTGGTCAGGGGTTGCAAACTATCCAGTATGAGATAAGTAAGTTCTGGGGAGCTAATGTACAGCATGTTGATTATAGTCAATAGTATATTTTATACTTTCTAGTTGCTAAGAAAATACATCTTAAATGTTGTCACCCCAAAAATGGAAATGCTAATTGTGTTACGTGGTAGGCATATTAGCTAAGGCTATGGTGATAATCATTTTGTAATATATGTATGTGAAATGAATATGCTGTATACCCTAACCTTACACAATGTTATATGCTAATTATATTGCAATAAAGCTGGAAAAATGTTAAAAATAAAGCCTATCCAAACAATATCCTTACAGGTTATTGTTTGTAAGGCTACTGAAGAGAGGCTTAGGCAATATCTAGTGCTCTAAATAGATAGTAATAATACTAAATACTTTCTGCTTTGCTTCCTATTGTCTATAATGACTTGCTTATGAATCATCTTGCATGTGAAACCTGCACCAGATGTTTCATTTTTCAACTGGTCACTCTGACACTCTTCACTCCTGGCCTTTATTTCTGTACATTTTGTACATTTTAACCCCATGCCTATATAGTGGATACTCTAATACTCTACCTCCTCCCTTTCCTCAGGAAATGGATAAACAGAATTAGAGAAACTTTAGAAGGGTCTTGAAATGAAACTTAAGAGTAATATCAATTGCTTTGTCTTGAGATCAAAGTGTTCTATTGCTTTTGTTTTATTTTTCTATTACAGACCTCATATTCCAGTCAGCAAATTAGTTGCTTCAGAGTCCTATGACACTTATATCAATAGAAGTTTTCAAGTAACAAAAGAAATAATAAGTGAATGTAAAAGTAAAGGTAAGTGGTATTATTTTAGACTCGGTCTTTAAATAGGTGACCATTTTTCCAGCATGGTTAATAGGCTATTCAAGATGTTTCAACTTCTTTTGCCAGACTCACTTAATAAATAAAAAATCTTTCCAAACTCTCTTGTAGATACTTTCATATTAAATTTGTAGTATTCTCTTAAATACCTAAAAGGGTGGGTATTCCATGGGAATACACCAAATTTAGTTTCAAAATGAAGTAACTTAGATTTTGACATGAGAGCTCTTTATCTTGCACTTCATGAAGGAGTTTCCCTGTTACAATTTCTAGAAGTCCTTTAACCTAACATTGTTTTTCCCATAAGTGATCCAGAGCGTGAACATCTACACATAAACACACCTACACAAACACACATACTGCCACTATTACCACCAAGCAGGAAGTGTTCTATAAGGCTCCAGTCTATTTGCTATTGAATTTTATAAACATTGAACTACAATAGTTAACAATATGTAAAACTGACTATTCACAACAAAATTTTTAGTAAAAATGCAGGTTGCAAAAGAGTATAAACATTCCCATTGCTTTTTTAAGTTAAAATATGTATCTTTATATATATAAAAATATAAAAGCAAAGCCTGGAATTATATGCATTGAACTGTTAACAGTGGAGACCCCTGGTTAACAGTGCTGCGGATGATTCCCACCTCACAGTCATCACTCACAAAGCCACTCACACTACTTCCACTTCCATGACCCTCCTGTAATGACTCCCAGCATGTTCTACCAACCAGAACATTGCCAGTGCTCACAGGTCTACATGGCAACACTGAGAACTCTACTAAGAGTAGCAAAGAGAACTGTAGGCAAAGGATGGTTTTGTATCTTGATTGTGGTATATATTCAAAAAGATACACATGTGACAGAATTAAGAAAACCTGGTGAAAGTTAAATGAGCTGTGTGAATTGTACCAGTGTCCATTTCCTGATTGTGATAAAATGCCAATTAGGCAAGACATCAGAGGAGACTGGGTAAAGGGTGCACGGGACCTTCCCGGTATGTGTGTATGTGCAATGAACATACTCTGTGTACACACCCACACATTGTGTATGGATACATAGTATGATACACATGGAACATGTCATACACAGTCCTGCTGTGAACATACAATACATAAAGCTGACCCTCGACTAGTGCAGGGTTACGAACACCAACCTCCATGCAGCTGGAAATCCACATGTCACTTTGACTCCCCAAAAACTTTACAAAGAGCCTACTGTTGAGTGAAAGCCTTACCGAATGGTCAATTAACACATATTTTGTGTGCTTTATGTATTATATACTGTATTCTTACCATAAAGGAAGCTAGACAAAAGAAAGTTATTAAGGAAATCCTAAGAAAGAGAAAATCCATTTACACTATTTAATGAACAATATTTGCACATAAGTGGACCTATACAGTTGAAACCCATGTTGTCCGAGGGCCAACAGTAACTTCATATATATACAAGTGTACTACACATGTAACCTATGAACCTATAATTATTTTAAGATTAATGGGTTTTTTAATGACATGAGGCTGCCTTAATGATACAAAGCATTTTCAGAATTTTGTTTGTCCAATTCGTCTCTTTCTTGATACTGCTTGCCCCTCCCCAGAACACTTGGCTTCCAGCATTCACAAAGTTTACATATGTCTGTATAGAAATGGTCTTCTTAGTCCTTGCTTTTCCCCTCCAGGAAATAACATCTTGATTGTGGCCCATGCATCTTCCCTCGAAGCGTGTACCTGCCAGCTTCAGGGCCTGTCCCCTCAGAACTCCAAGGACTTTGTACAAATGGTCCGAAAGGTAACTCACACTTGCTTTCCGGGGGCCTGTGGTGCCCAGTCATTTTAGAACAGTTCAACGCCTGGCTGATAACTAGGTTCTCTGAGGCATGTGCTCTGAGCTAGGAAGGTGCATTTATTGATTCACTCAACCAAGAAGCACTGAATGGTACTCTGTGTAAGGCACTTTATTAGACCTGTGTAAGAGAAAAAGACATGTTTGACCTAGTTCTAGTTTGTTAGAGCTAAAATTGAGAAGTAGCTAAAGATTATAAGCAAGTTGTCTGGCTTTCCTTGAATACTGAGGATTGGATGAAGCGGGTGGGGGCAAAGCTCAGCCGGAAGTGAGGTCCTGGCTGGTTGGCCACAGGAAGCAGTGATTTCAAATGTCAGACAGAAAGGCAAACCCAGAAACAGGGCAGTGAGCCAGAGGCCGTGAGCCTGACCCACACATCTGGGTTCTTCCTTCTCTGTCAGCTGCCCTCCCACACACCTCCGTCCAAGCTGATGAATATGATTCCTCCATATGCCCCCAGAGACTGGCTTAAACTCAATTGCAATAGTCTTCTCATTTTTTTAAAAGCTTATTTATGCATCCGTCTTTCCCTTTACTCTGTAAGCTGCTGGAGGGCAGAAATTTGTGTCTTGTTTATAAATGCAGCTCTGTACACACACACAAAATAAGCTTTTAGATGCTATGGACACTGAGATGAGGAAGGGCACAGCTCCCACTTTGGATGTTACAGACACACATGGAAATACATAAATAAATAAAGCTGGGTAAAACAAATGAACAGCTCTTCAAAAACTGAGTCACCTTCCCACTGTCTATAAGTATCACACCAGACATGTTTAAGCTGCAGTTTTTAAAAATATATATATATATTTTATTGATTATACTATTACAGTTGTCCCAATTTTTCCTCCTTTGCCCTCCTTTGCATAGTATCCCCATTCCCTCCAGGAACCCCCACCCTCCAGTTCATGTCCATGGGTCATGCATGTAAGTTCTTTGGCTTCTCCATTTCATATACTGTTCTTTTTTATATAGTGTTGTTCAGGTACAGTTGTCTCCATTTTCCCACCACTACTTTCCCCTGCCCTGTGGTTTTAGCTTGACTTATAGGAAATTAGGAGTTAACTCGCAGCACCTTAGCTTTCTATGTTGCCCTTTTTTCTCCCACACTGTTAAGAAGCCAGCTCTAATTGAGTAGTTGCACTAGAGGAGCTCACCATTTAATAAATGCTATTGGTGAATCCTCTTGCAATGTAAATACTCTTCCCTCTAACTTATCAGCTTCTTTTTCCTTATGGATGTTGGGGGGATGCTTGTCTGTCAAGACCCTACTGATTCCTATGAATATTCCTTATTCTGGAGGGCCACCTGCAACTCTTTGTGTCTAGGTAAAAGGGGAAGCATTAAACCTCTATTTTCTACTTCCCACTTCTTTACTACTCTTACTGCAGATTCCATACTTGGGCTTTTGTTCCTGTGAAGAATTGGGAGAAACTGGAATATGGCAGCTGACAGACCCACCCATCCTTCCTCTTACCCATGGGCCAACTGGAGGCTTCAACTGGAGAGAGACCTTGCTACAAGACTGAACCACACCAATGAAGAAGGAAAAGGGCTTGCAAACGTCTTTGGAGAAGTGTCTTTTTGTGTGTTTAAAACAGTGAAAAAGTCTGCACCCCATTATAAGCAGACAGCTCAGAATAATTTGCATACTTCCTTTGATGCTTTAAAATTCTTGTAATGAGACTGTGTGTAAGGAAAAAACAAAACTTGATTCAGGGATAAAATTCATTCTGTCTCTGGACTCTTACCTAGCTAACAAGGATTTCAAGGATGGTTGCCGTAATTTGAGGCACCTGCTAAGGCAGAGGATGCATCCTTCCTTCCCCCAGCGCACCGCCAAGGCCCCTGAGCCCTCACGTAGGGGCGCCAACCCAGCCTGAGGAAGGATACAGGAGGAAGGAGGGTATCCAGACTCCAGCTGGAGCAACAGTGAGCTGCCAGTTTAGAGATGGGACTTTCTCTTTAACTCCGTGTTCCAGTCAGACAAAACCACGCTGAAGGATTCTTATCAGGCTCTCAGAAAACGTGTCCTACAGAGCATCTTTCTAAGTTACACATCAAAATATGCTCTCAGTGTGACCCCCAGTGCTGCTGGGTCTGGATGCATGCCCTGAGGACTCAGATGTTCCTCTGGTGCTGCCAGCTTTCTCCAGAGCAGCTGCCTGTATCTGTGAAACGGGGGACAAGGCACACTTGCTCTCCAAAGCACTTTTGGCTACTCAGGAGGAAAATAAGATAACTGTGTGAAGTACTCAACTGTAGGAACAAAGAACTTGCAAAATATAAAGTGATTCTTAATTAACCGTGTTGCGACCAAAAGAGCCACTGACTTCTGAATCACCGTGGTTGCTTGTCCTTGGCCCTGGAGTCTGGACTATGGTCACTGGGTTAAGGCAGTTGGTGTTTTGAAAGGATGTGTGTGACATACATTTTTTAGTCAGCAAAAAGCTCATTCTTGTGCAATATGGACATCTAGAAACCATACCAAGGATCAGGTTGTTGTTCATTCACATACAGCACATGTCCATCATAACAGGACATCCACAAATGCACCAGTTGTAGCAGGGATGCATAACGAAGTCAGGGAGCTAACGGAAATGACAGTCTTGACAGCACGGCTACGCGGGCTGTCCTTTTGTGTTTGTTTTTCTATAATAATTTTAAATATATAGGTAGGGCAACTTAAGGAAAGTTGAGAGAAGCACATCCTATGGTTTCTCTTCACACCTGCTTCCTGAATCAAGAAGGAGGTTAGCTAAAGAAAATAAATGACAATCAAGCCAAAACATCAGTTATCAATGTCTACTTGATTGTGTGACAAGCTGAGTGCTGACGGCAGCAGACAGTGGTCTGGTCTGGTCTGTGTAGCATACACGTGCAAAATGAAATCCCAGCCACTTAAAGAGCATTAGTGCAAGACAAATCAATATATATTGTAGCATAGCATAGGCTTCAAAACCCAAATGCATAAAATATGGTAAATATGGTGTATAGAAAATAGCCCTGACTGGTGTGGCCCAGTGGATTGAGTACCAACTTGCAAACCAAAGGGTTGCCAGTTCAATTCCCAGTCAGGGCAGAGAGAGACAACCATACACTGAGGTTTCTCTCCTCTTTCTCCCTCCCCTCCCCCTCTCTAAAAATAAATAAATAAATAAATAAATAAATAAATAAATAAATAAATAAATAATAGGTCTATGCTCCTATTGGAAATGGGAATGTAATGATTCCCTGGAAAGAAGAGGAGTGAAAGGATGCTGTCCTTGTGTGTTAATCAGCAAGAGGATTATAGTTGGGGTTTAAAAGTCACTTAAAGAAATATGTCATAAATTTTACATTTTAAGGAGCAAATCTGGATTTCTTCTGGCATTGCACAAACACCGTCCAGCTTCTGAGTATAGAAGTAACTCTATGCTGACATCATTAAAGTTTTAACCTTAAAATTGGTGAAATACTCTCATTAAAGGGTTTAAGAGAAACATCACATTACAGTTCATATAATGTTGCTACCATTCTTTTATCTGTAAGGAAGTGAATCAGATCAATAATGTATATTAGATTCTGAACAAATTTTCATGGTCTTTCAATGCTCAGAATCATGCTTGAATACCTCTCATGCAATTCCCTTGAAAATAGTAGCAGTATGTTCTGGGCTGTGTCTGTACTTACACAGAATGGAGTTCAGAATGGGTTATCCTCTCCCTCCCTCTGGGTTGTCTGCGTCCTGTGGCGACCTGATAGGTCAGTGTAGCTGGGCCACCGTCCATGGTCCTTAGTCCAAAGCAGACAGAGCCTTGGGCTATTGTCTACATGAGCAAAAGGAGACAGAAGTCTGAAACAGTTTTCTGAATAATTTGAGTGGAAAACCCTGAGTAAGGTAAGAGTTTATTCCTCTGCTGTAATAATCCAGATTGCTTTTTAAAATGGCCTGAATATCTGAACTCACAATAAATTCTCTTTTCACATCTATTTAAACAACTAAACTTGAGCTCCAAATGAGAAATTCTTTGGAAATCGTGTTGAATAATAAAAGAAAAATGATTTCATACTCATCCAAATCCTCCAGGTTGATATTAGAACCTGAAGTTTAGACCAGTTGTTTTTGATCTGAGCCTGGTGCTTATTAAGAACAAATGTTGAGCCCTGGCTGGCATAGCTCAGTGGATTGAGCGTGGGCTGCGAACCAAAGTGTCGCAGGTTCGATTCCCAGTCAGGGTACATGCCTGGGTTGCAGGCCATGACCCCCAGCAGCTGCACATTGATGTTTCTCTCTCTCTCTCTCTCCCCCTCCCTTTCCTCTCTAAAAATAAATAAATAAAATATTTAAAAAAAAGAACAAATGTTGATGGGGTGGGGTGGGAGAAGAAAGGGAGGAAGGAAAGGCCAGATACAAAAACCAAATGGTTTCTTGTAGAGAGGATATTTTTTAATCTGAGACAAACTGAGATGGAATTAGCCAGAGGATTTAACATGGGATTGAGAGCAAAACATTCTGCCGCTTATACCAGGGGCTGCGTCAGTCCTCTCGTACCCTGGCGTTGGCCAGTGCTAGGACTTTGGTTTCTGAGATTTTAAAATGCCACATCTATGCCCCACTGGACAAGAACAGTCCGCGCATTTTCACATACAAGCTAGAGTTTCAGGTTCCCAGGCCCTGTCTCCATTACCACAGGGGTGGCTCGGAGCTCACCACTTACCCTTGCTTGGACTTCAGAGCACAGGGTTTTCCATGACATTCGGATTCGTGCAGTTTGAGTGGCTAATTAAATGGCCATCTGGTGGCTGAAAGAGGGAGGTCTTGTTTACCCTGTAGGAAGGGCTTCCAGGAGTTTCTACTTTTTATTTGAATTATACTTTAACCAAAGAATTATTTTAAAATAACCTTATATTTGAAAGATGATTTTGCAAAAATAAAAATAAAATATAATATTTTCTGGAGTGATGTCAGTTTGGTAAATCACTGTTGCTAATTTCTTGCATTTTAGGCTGATGTGGTCACTTTTCTGTCAGTGGTATTTGGAATGCATATCAGTGGCCCTCCAATTGTGTCCAGCATCCCCACAATGCATGTTTTCTACTCAGCTAGCTGTGTTTGTATTAAACAAAGCTTGTTCTTTCAGTCTCCCAGTGTTATTGGGAACTGATTGAAGAGCTACAGTGAGAGAAGTTCCTATCTCATCACCTTTGTTTGAGAAGAGCTTTCCTGTGTGGTAAAAAAGGAGGCAATTCCTTTGTAATCTAGGTACTCTGCTGCCCAGGGTTGAAGTTGAAAGCAGTGCTGAACTGCTCTTTTGAATTTACTCTAAGTAAAGTGTGTGTTAGAATGCAGATGAACTTCCTTTCATTTTCACAGGCACTGTCACAATTATACCTGCAGGAATTTCTCAGCTAATGGGGCACAGGGTTCTTTGCATTTAAATTGTGGTCCCGCCCCTGTGTGTGACAACTTAGAGCTGCTAGTTGCCTGTGAGGAGCGGAAGAAATTCGCCTGCTAGGCTGGGGACAGCAGCGATTTAGCATGTATTGAGTTTAATATTCACTCACAGAGGTGAAGGGGGAATGTTCCCTTAGGGGATGGCAGATGCTTTTCATCTTTAAACAAAGGATTAAAATGAGATTTGCTTCTCTTTAATACTTCAACATAGTGAATTTTCCTAGGAAAGTGACTAGCCATTACAAAAAGTCAAGGGAAGGAAAAGCATTGCCTCTATGATACAGAAGAAATAACTTGATTTTTCAGTACATGTAATATGTTCAGTACATGTAGGTTTACAACTAAAGTGATTAGTAGTCAAATTTAATATACTATTGGTTCTTATGAATGTTTTACACGGCACGACGTAGCTGCCATTACTCCCACAGAAACCGAAACTTTGCCACTGTTCTATTCTTGGACTCTGTACAGGACATGCACGGGAAACGCATACTGCTCCTTTCTCTGATTGCCACTCAACATGAGAACACCAGCCAAGTAACGCACAGGCCATTCTAAACCTGTTCTCGGAGGTCTGTTGGTTTCTTTCTCCTTTATAAGGCTATTGTATCCGTTTCCCCGGTTATTCGGGTGTATTTATTTGATGAAGGAGGTCTGTAAAAGAGAAACCACGCCTATTTGTATCGTCAAGGTACCTGTAAACCACCTGTGGCATCTGCGCTTTCCTGGTTGCGTGCCCTCGCAGCTGCAGCTCCCTCCAGGTGTGATGAGTTCGTCCCATCCCAGGCCCATCTCCACCCAAGAGGCTCGTTGGCTATTTAATAAAGAGAAACTGTGTCCTCAGTCAATCAGAGCGATCTCACGGTAAATTCCGAGTGGTCTCTATTTCCACCACGGTTGCAGGTTAGGTTACTGTGGTCATTATGGTTGTGCAAATATCCACTAAGAGCACGATTCCTGGCCCAGGGCCCGAGGGACCATTGATGCGGAGGGAAGCGGGAGGATGATCCAACAGCCCTGAGGCCCGGCCCCTGCCAGCCAGACATCCTTCCTTCCCCCCGGGGTGCCAGGAAAGGAAGCGCCCAAGGCTTCCGGCTGCCTGTACAAGCCTTTGCTCCCAACCCGCCCCTGTGAGGTCCTGCAGAAACCACCGGTGTAGGGAAGACGGTTTGGGTGGGCGGGAAAGGAGGCCATGGCCCTGCAGTACTCCCATCCACTTAACTTGCTACAGTCTATTGTTACAGCTGTTCTACTCCATCAGTAGTTATTGTCATTCATCTCTTCCACAGAGCCCATTTTTAAAGTAAGGGTATGTTAAGCTAATAGATTTTCAGTAACCACGTGTGAAAACTGATGCCTAGGAAAGGAATGCGGATTTTCATGGACACCCCCAGCTCCTGCCCTGGAAGTTTGACTTCCTGCAAAAACCTAACAGTTAAGCTCACTTCCAGCAACAGGCCAACCTAGGTTTAGCCTTGTGGCTGGTTCTTAGTTGTCTGCTTGATGGGTTCCCAAACTCGTTTTGCCCTTTTCTCATGTATGTAAAAGCTGTCTGCAAACATCCAAAGAAAATAAATCAGTGTGCTTTGGATTTATTTAAGCTAAAATCAACAAAATGTTTTTGTAAATTGAGAACCAAAAAAGCCTTCCTTTTGAAGAAAGATATACTTCATTTTGCCAGAAATCAACATGTTCCCCCCTCCCCAGAGAGGGCTTAATCCTGGCCATGAAAAGATACCGAGGTTCATTCAGCTAGCTGGTTGCCAATGTGCCAATGGGGCAAGTCAGAAGGTCTGTGTGTCACTGGGGAAGTCGGATAAAGTCCCAGAGAAGTCAGGCAAAGCTGGTGAGGGTCCTGGCTCAGCTGCTGACAGGACTGCTTGGACCCATTTCACCTGCATGATTGATTGTTTACAGTATGGTTGTAATTATCGAATGGAACAACAAATACAAAGTACCTAGTACACTACATGCTAATAAACAAGATCTTTTACTAAGGCCAAGCTAAACATTACATATATAGCCATTTTCTTGTCTATGGGGAATATCAAGGACAAGGAACAAAAATGGCCTCATTCATACTAATATCACTTTACTGTTCTCCCCATAAGTTAGCTTCTGTGGTGAAAGTGGCTGTGTTGGTTGAATTCTGTGCTTTGTCGAAGAGGCTGCCTTAATGATTTACTACCTTCCCTTTGTACAACTTTATAAAGGCTTAAAAACACATTTTTGTTTTATTCTCATCAGCATTTTACAAGGTTAGGAGATCAACCCTTACTATTAACTCATTGTGTGAAACTAGGAATCTTAGGTTGTGAACTCACTCATCATTCTACAATATTGACTGAACACTGTTCCGAGCAGGGTGGCAGGCTGGAGCTACCGTAGCACATAAGAAAGCAATGTACCTGTGCCCATGTAGTAGAGAGATGGACAATGAACACATAACTAGGCAAGATACATAATTACAGCTGTTGATCAATACTGTCTGGGGGAAAAAACTGGGTTTTGTGGGGCAGGGGGTACTACTTTAGATCTTATGGGCAGGTATGGTGTCCTGAGCAGGTGGCAATTAAATGACAGTTAAGGCTGAATAGAAGTTGGTCATGGTGAAGAGCTAAATGAGGAAGGTTCCAGGAAGAAGGGAGTGCAGAAGTCCCCAAGTAGAAAGGAGCCAGCCGGGTTAGAACAGAAGGGCTCAGGAAACTAAAGCTTGGTAAGGACAGCAGGAAGTGGGAGAAATGAGGTTGGAGAGACCCACAGACATGGGGTCCTATGCAGCAGAGACCAGCAACCTGTCACCCACAAGCAGAATGTGGCCCACAGCCCATGTCTGGACATCCCACGAGCTAGGGATGTTTTTACAGCCTGTGTTTGTAGGGCCCACAATCATAAGGGTTGAAAAACATAAAAAAAGAATACTGTTTTATGTCACATGATAATCATATGAAACTCAAATTCCAATGTCTATAAATAAAGTTTTATTAGTACACAGCCACACTCATTCATTTATATATTGCCTGTGGCTACTTCCAGGATACTGGGGCAGAAGTCCATTGTAGAAGAAGCCACATGGCCTGCAAGCCAGAAGTATTCACTACCTGACTCTTTACAGAAAAAGTTTGCTGACTTCTGTTGCAGATAAGGATGAAGCATTCGGATTTTGTTCTAAGTCTAAGGAGTCTGGCAGAGAAGCTAGTTTACCTGGCATAACAAATTCATAGATTGGTGGTGTCCAGTGGCTGGCAAAGTGGTAGCAGCATGTCATTTATACATGTAAACTTTCTAAATTCCCTTAACAACCTTATTTGGTAGATACTATTATTATTCCCAATTTACCAAAGAGGAAAGCTGAAGACCTGACCAGTGTGGTGTGGTTTGGCATCGTCCTAAAAGTGAAAGCTCACTGGTTTGATTCCTAGTCAGGGCATAGGCCTGGGTTGTGGATTTGGTCCCTGGGTCAAAGCATGTGTGAGAGGCAACCAACTGATGTTTCTCTCACATCGATGTTCCTCTCCCTATTTCTCCCTCACTTCCGCTCTCTCTAAGAATAAGTAAATAAAAATCTTTGAAACAAAGTAGAAGCTGAGTCTTAAAAGAATTCAAGAATTTGCTCAAAGTCACATGGCTAGTAAGTGTTAGAGCTGAGATTTGAGCCTTGTCAGCCCAGTTCTAGAGCCTGGATTAATAGCTTAAAATGTTTTCCTAAAGAAATTTTAAAGGAAGGACTGCAGAACCCCGAGGCAACTGGGGGTACCTGGGTTCTTCAGAACACGGTTTGGAAACAACTGTTTTCATTCTATCCTCTCGTTTGGGATGGAGA